GCGCGATAGGCGCTAGCGACAGCGGGGGCCAACACATCGACCAAACTCCGACTTTACTCGACAATACTGAACTTACTGAACATGATGAACTGAATAAAGACTAAATGAACGATAATTACTCGGAACATGTCGGACTGAATTGATCATAAGAGGTATCATCGCACATACGCATGAACCGAACATAACATGATTTTTCTTGGAAATTCTGAAAATTACTCGAACCCTTAGCCTTAGATCATCCTTACTAACATGAATAATATCTGAAGGGATCATTACCTCTCCGATTGTTCGACTGAAATCGGAAATAGGGTGTGCCTCCTTATCTTGCGTGTACTCCGTGCGGTGCCCTTCACTTGCCGTGCGATTGTATAGGAATATTAGGAATTTAAATGGGGCTTTTGATGCTGATCGTATGCTATGGCTTGAAGGAGGTAGTATGCTGATTGCGTATAAGGAAAAAGTGGGAAAATTTTTTATCATCTCAACTTATATATAGTGCCGATGGGGGATGCATGTTGACGAGCTTGGAGCGTTGCTTCATCTAAGCCATGACACTTGCTACATCCTTAGCTAATTTAGGGTGACTAATCAGCCCTTTAAGTTGCCACGTGGTCTAGAAAATGAGGAGGAAAAATCACTTACTTGCATAAGAGAAAAACTACACGGCTTTAATTGGAAAATTGGGAAAATTTTCCCCTTAATGTCACGGCTTTGGAGATTAATGATGATTAATCAACAATTAATCACTAAACTTTATGTTTAATTGTTTAATTAAACATAATGCTTAATTACCAAAATTATTCCGAACGTAAACAGTACGTCGAAATTAATTTTCGGTAATCTCGACTGAAATAATTAATTCCGAAAATAATAAACGATAACATTATTATATCGGAACTAAAACGTAATTTATACCGATAAAATATCGGGATATTACACTGCGGGAGTACGGTATGAAGCTGAATCCAGCCAAATGCAAATTCGGGGTGAAGACGGGCCGATTTCTGGGATATGTTGTCACCGAGAAGGGGATCGAGGTGAACGCAGCCAAGGTGCAGGCGGTCTTGGAGATGAATCCCCCAAGAAACCGTCGTGAGGCCCAAGTGTTGGCAGGTCGATTGGCAGGGCTCAGTCGATTCATAGCCCAAGCAGCTGAGAAGGGGTTCCCATTCTTCAAAGCTTTGAAAAAAGGGGCGAAGTTTGAATGGACGATGGCCGCGCAGGAGGCATTCGAGCGACTTAAGGAGTTCTTAGCAGAATTACCCCTCTTATCGAAGCTGGAACCGGGGGATGAGTTGGTGTTATATTTGTCCGTAGGGCGAGTGGCGATCAGCTCAGTACTATTAAAGGAGGATGATCGACAGCAGAGGCCCGTGTATTATACGAGCCGACTGCTGCAAGGGGCAGAGACCCGATATTCGGACATAGAGAAGGTGGCACTGGCGTTGATTATCACGATCCGAAAGCTAAGACCATACTTCTTGAACCACAAGGTCGTTGTCCGCACTAACATGCCGTTGGGAGATACGCTGGGTCGACCTAATGTGTCGGGCCGACTCACCAAGAGGGCGGTAGAGCTTGGCGAGTACGATATAGTGTTCGAGCCCCGAAGGGCCATAAAAGCTCAGGCCTTAGCAGATTTCATTCGAGAACTAACCACCGACGGAGAGCCAGGGCTGTGGAAAACGCACGTAGATGGTAGCTCGGCCATGGGCGGAGCAGGTGTTGGAGTAGTCATAATTACGCAGGAGGGTGACCGCCTTGAGTACGCAGTGAATCTGAACTTTCACGCCTCGAATAATGAGGCCGAGTATGAGGCGTTGATGAAGGGTATCCAGTTCACTCTAGCAGCGGGAGGTCAGCAGGTCCAACTGCATTCGGACTCACAGCTCGTAGTGGGGCAAGTCAAGGGCGAATTTGAAGTAAAAGAAGATCAGATGAGAAGGTATGTGGATAAGGTGCATGAGTTGCTCAAAGGCTTTATCAAATGGGAGATCATCCAAATACCACAAAGCGAGAACAATCGAGCAGACTTGCTCGCCAAGATGGCTAATTCGCTGGCGGAATGTGGTTCCAGGTCGATAACCCTGCTACAGATGGAGTAGAGCTCAATAGACCAAGTAATGGCAATAGAAGAAATGGTCGATTGGAGGGCCGAGATCAGAAATTGGTTAGCCCGAGGAGAAAAACCAGAAGATAGGAATGCTGCAGAAAAGCTGTTGAGGAGAGCCTCGAAATTCTTTTTGGAGGGGGACAATTTATACAAGAAGACATATGAGGGACCACACCTCAAATGTGTGTCGATTGAACAAGGGGATTACGTCTTGCGCGAAATCCACGAAGGGTGTTGCGGTAGCCACATAAAGTCACGGGCGCTCGTTGGGAAAGCATTGCGGGCGGGTTACTTCTGGCCTACTATGCGCGCCGACGCATTGAAGATGGTAACAGCTTGTTGGCCTTGCCAGATGTACGATGTCGCCACACACAGACCCGCAGAGGAGATGATGCCTATGATGACCCCTATCCCCTTCGCGCAATGGGGGATTGATATCGTGGGGCCGTTACCACAAGGAACAGGGCAACGCAAATGGCTACTGGTCGCTATAGATTATTTCACCAAGTGGGTCGAAGCAGACGCGTTGGCTACCATAACCGAGAAGAGGGTGATCGACTTCTTATTTACAAACCTTTGTTGTCGATATGCTATACCACGAACCTTGATATCGAATAACGGTACACAGTTCAATGGGTCGAAGATTAAATCATGGTGCGAGGAGATGAAGATAAGACAAAAATTCGTGGCAGTGGCGCATCCGCAAGCCAATGGGCAAGTACAAGTCGCTAACCGAATCATCGTACAAGGACTCAAAAAGAGACTCAAAAAGGCGTCGGACACATGGGTGGATGAGCTAGATTCGGTGCTGTGGTCGTATAGAACAACCTCTCAGAGCTCGACCGAGGAGACACCGTTCAGCTTGGTCTATGGGATGGACGCCGTCATACCCGTCGAAGTGGGGGCCGGCTCGCGAAGGGTCGACACATATGATGAGGGCACTAACAATGAGCTCCAGAGAGAGGCCTTGGCAACGATTGACGAATTGCGCGACGCGGCGGCTCTAAGGGTGGCTTTGTACAAACAACGGATTAAGATGGCATATGATAAGAAGGTTAGACCCAGAGGATTTCAAGTTGGAGACTTGCTGTGGCGAAGGGCAGATGTGCTGAAGAAAGTCGGAAAGATGGAACCAGTGTGGGAGGGGCCATTTAAAATCCTCAAAGTCCTGAGGGGAGGAGCGTACGAACTCGAAGACAAGTATGGCAAGGCGCTGCCTAGGGCGTGGAACGTTATTCACCTTACGAAGTATTTTGTTTGTAAAACTAGGGAGAAATAGCGAATGTATATACCTTTTGTTGCCTTTTGTTGACACCGTAGTACTTGTTCCGGTGAATATCGTGTAGCCTTAAGGGCGTTTTGATGTACGACAATATTTGTGATGATGTGCTTAATGAAATGTCATGTTTTGTTGAAAACAATGATATGTGTCACAACCTACAGGGCCTCGAGGGCAGGTCGTCTGGGGTGAATATGTTCAAGGCCACGCGGGCCGATCAGAAGCCTTAGGGCTAGGTCACCCGGGGTGAATATGTTCAAGGCCACGCGGGTAGATCAGAAGCCTTAGGGCTAGGTCACCCGAGGCGAATATGTTCAAGGCCACGCGGGTCTATCAGAAGCCTCGAGGCTAAATCGTCCGGGGCAAACGTTTTCTTTTTTAAAGCCACGCGAGTCGTTCAGAAGCCTTAGGGCTATGTCACCCAGGGCGAATATATTCAAGACCACGCGGGTCGATCAGAAGCCTCGAGGCTAGATCGTCCGGGGTAAACGTTTTCTTTTAAAGCCAAGTGGGTCGTTCAGAAGCCTTAGGACTAGGTCACCCGGGGCGAATATGTTCAAGGCCACGCGGGTCGATCAGAAGCCTCGAGGCTAGATCGTCCGAGGCAAACGTTTTCTTTTAAGGCCACGCGGGTCGATCAGAAGCCTTAGGGCTAGGTCACCCGGGGCGAATACGTTCAAGGCCACGTGGGTCAATCAGAAGCCTCGAGGCTAGATCGTCCAGGGAAAATGTTTTCTTTTTTAAAGCCACGTGGGTCGACCAGAAGCCTCGAGGCTAGATCGTCCGGGGCAAACGTTTTCTTTTAAGGCCACGCGGGTCGATCAGAAGCCTTAGGGCTAGGTCACCTGGGGCGAATACGTTCAAGGCCACGTGGGTCGATCAGAAGCCTCGAGGCTAGATCGTCCGGGGCAAATATGTTCAAAACCACGTGGGTCGATCAAAAGCCTCGGGGCTAGATCGGCCGGGGTGAGTATTTTTAAGATGACCTGCCCGACCTTAAGGTAGAAGGGTCGGCACACTCGACTCGGGACATGATAAACGAATAATATAGAGCAAAAAGCAAGCACACATAATCGAAAGATAATACAACATATTCGGAGTACGACATCAAAGTACATGAAACGTCGCTAAAACAAGTGGGAATATTACAAACCGCGAGCAAAAGGTCATACAAGATCGCAAAATACAAAGAACAACATCAGTCTCGAAATGATCAACATCAAAAGACAACCAAAGCTAAACTACCCATCGAGGTGTGGCTCGACGGCACCAATGGTCGGGTCCGCACCAGAACCGGTAGCAAGAGCAGCCCGGAGGAGTCAAGCATCCCAGCAGCCGCAGTCGGGTCAGGCAAGGTAGAAGACTCCGGAGGCATCTGGGACTGCACGGGGTGGGTAGAATCGGCATCATCCCCTAAGTCTTCCTCCGCTTCGGCCAGCTCAGAAGGGGTCGGAGTAAGGGGAGGCGAAGGGGGGAAGGGAAAGTAGACGGTAAATCCACCCGACCTGCAAGGCCTGCGGCCTTCACCGCGGTGTCAAGAGCTAAATCCCACCAAGGGTGATGAAAAGGCAGAGTACCGTCTCCCTTGAACCCCCTGGGCCAAGGGAGGTCGTCCTTCAACGCCGGAATATCGAATGTCCCCTGGAAATCCCGGGTAAAAGCCTGCACCTTGGCGCGCGCGATGGCAATATTCAAATACTGTCGGGTCGCCGGAACGAGCCGATGAAGATAGGGGACCGAGTTGCTATACAAGCTGATGACCTCGTCCTGATAGGCAATCAGAAAGCGTCGACCCTCCTCGGAGCAAAAAAAAACCCCTAAGTCCTGCCTGGCGAGAGGATTTGGCGGAGGCAAGACGACGGGCTTCGGCCTCCTCCACTTGCCTCTTCATCGCGGCAAGCTCCTTATGGAGCTCCTCGTTCTTCACCTGGAAAGTCTTCTCGCGCTCGGCTGAGTCCTCTTGAGCCTTCTCAAGGGCCGCAATTTTCCGCTCAGCAACCCCCAACTTGCGCCCCGCATCCTCTTTGCCATTACGGGCCTCGACCAGCTGGCCCTTCAATACTCCAATAGTAGAGTGCGCTTTCTCAAGCTGCCGCTAGACCTGTTTGGCTTCCATGCGGTTCTCCGCAGCCGTCCCGTTTACCTCGTCAAGAAGTAAAGGACTCGCTGCGCCAAGGAACTAACAAAAAGGGAAGAACAAAAAGGGGGTAACACCATCATTAATCTAACCAAAAAACACTGAGAATCAACCCAGAATTATGTATTTGGAAAGCGAAGTTATACCTGGAGGAGTCGATGCACTGCCACCTCAGCTCGATCCTGCGGTCTACCCTCGAAGCGCCGATTCTCAGAATCGGGCATGACCGAGTGCAGATACCTAGTGAGATCAACGGGATCGGCATCCTTCCCAAAGTTAGTGGGAGCTACCACGCCGTCATCCGAGTCGGGAGCTCGGGATCGCTTGCGAGAGCCCACCTCGTCACGAGGGGCATCTGGATGGTTCTGGGAAGATCGGCCGGCGAGGGGTGAGACAACTGGACCAGTCGTCTGTCGGCCCGAGTGGTCAGTAGAGCCAGTCGTCTGTCGGCCCGAGCGGTTAGGGGTCGATGTGATGTGGCCGGAAGGGGGGCGTGTGCCATCGCGCGAGGGTCCGTCAGCGGTGGAGTGGGTCGAGTGGAGTACGGCCGACTGGCTCTGGCTGCGAGTACGCACTGCGGGTCGATCCGCAAGGTCGGGGTTCGATGGACCCTCGCCGCGCTACTTCCTGTCTAAGGCCTGTTTCTTTTACAAAGTCGCTTGTCTGATGATGTTATCTGAAAAATAACAAAGTACAAATGGTCAATGCAAGTATATCTCAAGTACGAAAGCAATAATCGAAGGCAGAAGAGCAATCATAATCGACGCATATAATCCCGCATACAGGGTCGACACGATCGACCCACCCGAACGAACGTGTGGGGTTAACACGGTCGGCCCACATGATCTTGTACTTAGGGTCGACTAGCTCGACCCACGACATGGGGTCGACTAGCTCGACCCACGACATGGGGTCGACTAGCTCGACCCACGACATGGGGTCGACCAACTCGACCCACGGCATAGGGTCGACTAGCTCGACTCCCTATAAAAAAAAAAACAAAAAGATAAGAAGGGGTCGAGTAGCTCGACCCACGACATGGGGTCGACTAGCTCGACCAACGGCATAGGGTCGACTAGCTCGACCCATAAGCATGGGTCGACTAGCTCGACCCCCTAAAAAAAAAAGAAAGGAAGATAAGAAGGGGTACACTAGCTCGACCCACGACATGGGGTCGACTAGCTCGACCAACGGCATAGGGTCGACTAGCTCGACCCATAAGCATGGGTCGACTAGCTCGACC